ATGAAAGAAATGATTCATCTTCAGTAATTTACAATTTTAATTAAATTAACAAATATAATTGATTTAACATTTATTATATTTATTTATCTTGTTTATCTATAGAAGATGCATCATTCAAATGAATATACAATGATGTAAAAGTGTTATCAATTTGATTTTAAAATACTTGTAATTGAATAATTAGAAATATATTTTACAAATACTTTCAAAAATATATATACTTATACATTTTTATAACACAAACCTATAATTAGACATTCTTGCCCAAGTGGTCCACCAATAACTTTTATGTAAGTTATAAGCCCATCAAGTATCCACTCCCTTTCCACTGTTCCACTAAAAGATAAAGCTTGTAATCTTCTTTCCATACATAAAATTAAGTTATTTGCTGTAACAACAAGCAAATTGCAATTTAACGCTTGATTTAACTTTTCACATATGCGATAGTGCATTCCATCATTGGAATTTAATGGTTCGTAAATTATCACACGTTCTGATAATTGAACTGCTAATTTATTTTTATATACTGCAATACGGTAAATCTAAAAATAAAAATAAAATTTCTATAATCAATACCAATTTTAAATTCATGCTTTTTATATGAATACAATATTCTTACACATGTTTTGCTTTACAAAATTAAAATATGAATTTATATTTTCAATTTGAATTGTTCTACGTCATTTATAATGTTATCTAAATATTTAATACTAAACTATTTTTTTACATACCAAATCTTTACACTTAATTCGAACCTTTTGACCAGTAATTAAATTTTGAATTACTACATCAGTCATATTTTCTCTATATGCATATTTATCTCCATATAACCCATGTGTAATATCCCAAGACAACTGTAAATATGTTATTGTACCATCTTGACAACCAAGCGCCTAAACATATAGAAGATCGCTAAATTATACAGATAAATATATAATTTAATAACCATAGGCATGAAACTAAATAGTAAACTAAAAGTTCTTAAATCAAAGTTACAAAATTAAACCATGAAAAAAAAGTAAAATGTTTAAATTCATACAATGTGTGTAGAAGTTGGATGTACTGCACAACTCCAAATCCAAGAAGAAAATGTACCACCGAAATTAATTAATTGTATTCCATCATATGTTATTAGCATACATTGTTTATTACTTCCAGAAACTAAAATATATTGACCTCCTGCAAAGTTACACATTTTAAGAGGAATAAAATTTAGTGATCTTTCTTTCCCAAATGGTTTTCCTGAAATTGAATAAAAGGATATAGTTCCATTCCATTCTGCAACACACAGAACA